ACTTCCTGCACTTCTTGGGCTGTTTGCATTTGGGCTTCTTGTTGGTCTTCTTAATTGGCTTCTTATGGTACCGCCCTAAAGGTGAGAGAGAGAGAGGGAGAGAGAGGAAACGCGGAGCCAGGTTTTAGTAAGAGGTTAAGAATCATTTTCTTTCGTAGCCTGAAGTCGGAGCTTTCAGATTTTTTTTGAATTTCATTTGGCGGGGAAGAGTCTCTCGAGGAAGTGTGCTTGGAAAATGCGTTGCCTTTTTCTTAAGAGATTTGTCAAAGAGAAGGAAAAGAGGGGGACACTTTGCTCTTCTGCTCTCAAAGCGGTAGATGGGAAAAATAACAAGATTTATTTCGAAACGTAAGTCATTTCCTTCCACAACTGTTAATTAACAGCCCCTCCCCTCCCCCCTCCCCCCTCGAGCACCCGTCACATCAACCCCACTTACCCCTTCTGCCTTCAAGTGAGAGCGCGAGTGGGGTGAAGGACTCGTCAAAACCTCCACATCAGACCTCTCATCTCCCCAACTTAATATCATTATCTCCCCCCCTCCTCCTCCCCTTCCCCTCCACCCCCCTCCCCTCCCCCTCCCTCTTCCCGAGTTTTGCATAAGAGATATAAAAAAACTTTACGACCTCCCGCGAGACAAAAACAAAATAAAAAAATGGAATAAAAGCAGAACACGACGAACTTTCCTTCCTCGGAACCTCGGCCACCGGAACCCTCGAGGCGCAGCATGAGGGCCGAATCTCCAGTGGAAAAAAATCTACGGAACCGACACATACGTTTTCACTTAGATTCCTCGACGCCGGTGAAGTAATTATCTCAAGTAGAAACGGAAAAAGGAAGGAAAGAAAAGAAAAGGAAGGAAGAAGGAAGAAAAGGAAGCAAGGAAGGCGATCGATGGATGAAGAAACATTACGAAATAGGGGGAAATAGAGAAATGGATACGAAGGGAGGATAAAAAGCACAATATCAAAGGAAACAACCGAGACCATGGGGAGAGAGAGAGAGAGGAGAGAGAGAAGAGAGAGAGAGAGAGAGAGAGAGAGAGAGAGGAGAGAGAGAGAGAGAGAGAGAGAGAGAGAGAGAGAGAGAGAGAGAGCCATGTCAAAGGCAAAATTTTTGGAAGAGCGAAGGACGGGGGTTGGATGGGGGTAAAGATAAGTAGTACGAAGAGGGAGAGGAAAGTAGAGACGAAAGAGAAAAAAGAAAAATAAGGACCCAGCAACACTAAGGCATTATAAGAATGTACGAGACCAACTACCTGATATATGGACAACGGCAACGTAAAAAGAGGGGTTGAGGAAAAGGGTTTATATATATATATATATATATATATATATATATATATTATATATATATATATATAATATATATATATATATATATATAACAAACCATAAACCAAATAACAATGACACTAAACAAATGGACGCAGGAGGAAAGAAACGGGTTCCCTGCCTCGCGCGAGGACCGTGCTGACAACCCCAGGTAATCGGGTTTCCCCCTGCGTCGAGGAGAGGGAAACCCCGAAAGCCTTGGGCGGGGAGAGAGAGGAGAGGGTGGGGAGGGGAGAAAGAGGGAGAGACGAGGGGAGGGAGAGAGAGAGAGAGAGAGAGAGAGAGAGAGAGAGAGAGAGAGAGAGAGAAGAGAGAGAGAGAGAGAGAGAGAGAGAGGAGAGAGAGAGGGGGAGGGGGAGGGAGGGAGAGGAGAGGGGGGAGAGAGAGAGAGGAGAGAGAGGAGAGAGAGAGAGAGAGAGAGAGAGAGAGAGAGAGAGAGAAGAGAGAGAGAGAGAGAGAGAGGAAGAGGGGAGGGGGGAGAAGGGGGGGGGGGGGGAGAAAGAGGGAGAGGAGGGGAGAGAGAGAGGGGCAGAGAGAGAGGAGCAAGTCGGTTGTGGCACAGAGTTCGAGTTTCGAGGGGACAGGAGAAGGCGAAGTTTGAGCAGACACGCACACGCACACACGCGCGCACACACACGAAATTTCATCCTAACAGTACACACACACAAAAAAAGAGAACACAGTGGTTAGGGGGGTGGAAGGAGGGGTAGAGTAGGGGGGCAGGGCAAGGGGGGCACCACAGGTCACACGAGTAATGAAACATATCGCATATTCATGTTAAGTCTCCTGGCGTAAAGTACCGTCTACGAAAGGCAAGAGAAAAACAAAGAAAAGAAAAGAAGAAGAAGAAGAAGAAGAAAAAAAACAGATCGAAGAGAGAAAAATAAAAAAGGAAAAATATTCCAAAGCATGAACTTAAGAAAACGAAAAAAAATAAACAAGAAAAAATCACACACGTTTACACGAAACTTTGAGAACAGACACACTATTGGAAAAGGGGGGGGGCGGTCACAGCAAGAAGGGGAAGAAAGACGAGCAATGTAATAAAGGTAATAGGAAGAAGAAAGACGATAAGGGGTGGAAAGGAATGGCTGAAAACATGAAAAAGGAAAAGAATAACTAGAAGACTAATAATTCAAAACACATTGGCAGAAAGAAAAGATAGGGAAATACAATAAATTAGAGCTAAAGAGAAGGGGTAGAGAGTGAAAAAGAAAGAGGCGAGAGAGTGAACAGCGAGAGAGAGAGAGAGAGAGAGAGAGAGAGAGAGAGAGAGAGAGAGAGAGAGAGAGAGAGAGAGAGAGAGAGAGAGAGAGAGAGAGAGAGAGAGAGAAAGAGAAATGAGACAAGCAAGATGAGGAGGAAAGAGAGATGCAAACAGACACAGACAGACAGACAGAGAGAAGCGAGACGAGAGAAATATGCCTCCCCATGTTGTCGGGCGTGCATACCGGGTCCGGGGGCAATAGAGGCAAGCAGCAACACACAGGCAACAACCGGTCACCTTTTCCCTTCCCTCCCTCCCTTCCCCTCCCCACCCCCCCGCCAAAGTCTCGCACCCGGTAACGTATCAAAGCCTTCTAACGGCTGTTCTTGACCGGCACAAAAGGAGGAAAACACAATGGAAGCACAACGGGCAAGGACTTTTACGAAACACGAACAACCGCGATGCGAAGTGAGCGGCGCTCCATTGCATCTGTTTTATTACGCATTGCACACGTAAGTAGAAAAGAGAGAAACACACGCACACACACACACAGAACATAGAAAAAAAATCAGTCAGTCAAACAAACTAATCCACGCACACGCCAGAAAGACGAACGTAAACAAACCACACGCAGACAGACAGACAGACAGACAGACAAGGAGCCTCTGCAGTCAATCATCGAGCTCCTGCAGTCGCCGTCGTCGTCGTCATCGTCCTCCTCGTTCTGCCAACGTGGCGCCCGTATCTTTACGAGGGTCGTCAATACAGCGATGCCGTCTCCCCCTTTCTCTCCCCTTCCTTCCTTCCTTTCGCTCCCCCTTTCTCCTCCCCTTCCTTCCTTCCTTCCTTTCGCCCCCCCCCCCTTTCCCTCCCCTTCCCTCCTTCCTTTCGTTCACCCTTTCTTCTTCTCCCCTCTTTGTTATCCGTTTTCATGTCGCCCTTCTGTTATTCGGGTCTTCTGTTCATCATCTTCCTTCAACCATTACCTTTTTTTTCTCCCACCTCCTCTCTCTCTCTCTTATTTCTTATCTCCCTAGCTGTCCTCCTCCTCCCCGTCCCTCTCTACACGCACAAGCAGCGTCTTAAATCTCCCCATTTACTACCGCCTCCACTTTCTTCCTTTCTCCTCCTCCTCCTCTACTCCTCCTCCTCCTCCTACTCTCCTTTCTCTTCCTCTTTCTTTCTCTTTCTCTTCGCTTCCTCCCTTTCTCTTCCCCTTTCTTCCTCTTTCTTTCGCTCTCTCCTCCTCCTCCTCCTCCTCCTCCTCCGGGCCGGCCATAAAACCCCGATAGGCGCGCCTTAATCAAACGATAATTCACCTCTGGTCCCGTTCTCGTCAAGTCTGCGGATCGAGATAGCTTGCTGGTTGGTGAAACACAGGGAGAAGGAAAGGGGCGATAATGCAAGAGAATAAGAGGGCAGAGTGAGAGAGGCAAGAAGAACGATTAAAAGATAAGACAAAAGAAAAACAATAGCGTCTTGAAGAGTTTAAACGTCATCTCCTCAAAATAATCTTGAACTTTTCTTTTTGTTGCACGCGTAAAAGTTTCGAGAAAAGCCAAGCCAAGGCAACCCAAGGCAATCCCACAGTCATTGACGGCCAACCAGCCGCATAATCGTTTCCAAAACTTGCCAAACTTGCTCCGGAATCTTCGTCGACACAGAGGAATCCCCCTTCCTCTGCCCCCCCCCTCCCTTTCCCCTTTCCCCTACCTCCTCCTCTTCCCATCTTCCCCTTTCTCTTACCACCACCTCCTCCTCATCCCCACCTTCCCCTTCCCCTACCTCTTCCTCTTCATCCTTTTCTCTATCTCCTCTTCCTCCCCTTCCCCTTTCCCCTCCCCTCGCTGCAAATCCGGCCGCAGACAGACATTATCCTCAGCCTCGGTGCCATGAATACCTTACTCTTCTTTACTCTACTCCCTCTCTTCCCTTTCTTGATTTCCCTACCCCTTCTTCCCTTCCCCTTGCTTACTCTTCCCCTTCTTAGCCCTTCGCCTCCACCTTCCCTCTTCCCTTTACCCATCTGACTCCCCTTCCACCTCCCTCCCCTCTCCTTCAACCGCCTCCCCTCCCCCTCCCCCTCTTCCTCATCACCCCCTCCCAGATCGAGGGCCAAAGCCTCTCCTCCGTCCGATTCCTCAACCGGGTATGACCAAATCCTATTCACCACGCCTCTCCCACGCCACCGAACACTCGGGATAAGTGACAAGACAGAAATAGGAGAGTAGAGAAAAAAAGAAGAGAGGGAGGGAAGGAAGGGTAAGGAGAGTGGGGAGAGAGAGAGAGAGAGAGAGAGAGAGAAGAGAGAGAGAGAGAGAGAGAGAGAGAGAGAGAGAGAGAGAGAGAGAGAGAGAGAGAGAGAGAGTCTAATCTAATCTTATCCCTCCACATTCCCTCTCGCCTCTTCTATTCACGCCGACCACACTCCCCCCCCCCCCCCAAGAAAAAGAAAAAGAAAAAGAAAAAAAACTAAATGTATGCGTCTAGACGGGTCGGCACTGTTGGCTGTGTGTAATGAAGAAGGCTACATTATA